CACAGATTGCCTCACTTTTTCATCTTTATTATTGATAAGACCATTATTATTATTATTATTACCATTATTAATATTATCATTACTACTACTATGACTGATTGCACAGTTCATATTCACCATCGTATTATCCTATAGACAAAACACCATGATTGGTTTATATTTGAATTTTATTTGTAAACTTATATATATTAAAGTTAAGCCTGATGAGATCTAATTGAAAACAATATTGTTCGCTTAAATGTGTTGTTTTAAATTTTACTATGGGAATATTTAATACATATCTATTGTATCCAGAAAATTCGATATCCTAAATTTTATTGGAAATCATTAGGTAGAAACAGAATACCATAAGGTAAAATGAATTTAAAATGATATGCACGAATTAATACAGCTTGAATTAATACAATCTGATATCACACAACTGGAATTAAATATATCACAAAGGAGTCATGCACTTCTCGGCCTTCCAGAGGATATGAGACTACAATTTATGGAATATGTCGATGAAATCGCCGAATCTGATCCCTCAAAAAAAACGAACATAACTGATGAAAGGCTTAAAAAGGCGAACTCGCGAAAGTAGAGCTCCTGCTAATCCATAAAGGTACGTCCATAACTTTTCTAGCGTGACTCTTGATAAACTATAACTTGAAGCGTTATCTCTAGGACCTAACTTTTGTGATTTTTGTACGGAGATTAGTCAGATTGACACTGATGTACAGTTCGAGAACCTCTATATACAAACAGGGGACTTGGTTGCCTCCTTTGATGAGGACCTTGAAAGATTCAAATCAACCCTGGTAGACTGTTGCTGTCAGTATAGACAGAAGTATAAGAGTAAGCCCCATAGTATACTCACAAAAGAGCATCGAGAGGTTGTTAAAAAAGTAAGACGAAATGAAAACAGACTGGATAGGGGACTGGGGGGATAGTAATTATGGATAGGCAGGATTACATTAACAAGATGAACTCCACACTAGATGACAGCAGCAAGTTTTAGAAGGCGAAAGTAATGAAAGATCATACGGAAAAAGTAGAGAGAGAAATGACAAACTTATTAAACGATTTGAAAGGTAAAGGGTATATATCACCAAAAACTTTCGAAAACATAAAACCCATAGGGAGTACCACCTCACGCATGTATGGTCTACCGAAAGTGCATAAATCAGGAGTGCCCCTACGTCCCATACTAGACAAGTCTCATTCACCCTATCACGAGATGGCAAAGTGGCTGGTACAGCTAATTCAACCCTTGCATGACGGGGTAATGAAGCATAGCGTCAAGGCCACCTTTCAATTTATTGACAAGATTAAAAACTTGGACGCAACTGGCAAATACATGGCATCACTTGATGTTTCATCTCTATTCACTAATGTGTCTCTAGTGGAAACCATCGATTATATCTGAGAACAGATTATAGAAAGGAAATTGTGCACTGATATTCCTATTAGTAATCTGAAACAACTACTTGTTAAATGTACAACAAATGTTCAGTTCTTGTTTAATAATGAAATATACAGACAGGTTGATCGAGTAGCCATGGATCCCCACTGAGGCCTATTTTCGCGAACATATTTCCAGCAAAACTAGAAAATAGTCCGTTGAAAGATGATGAAATAACAAAAATGGAAATGTATTGTCGTTACATGGTTGACACTTTTGTAGTGTACGATGAAGGGTTAAGTAGTGATTTGATTTGAGCAACTTCAATAATGCTCACCCAGCGGTCCATTTCACCTACGAAGAAGAATACAACAACTCTCTACACTTCCTTGACATCCTACTAACGAGAAGAGAGGATGGTCCTGTCAAAAGAACCATATTTAGAAAGCTAGAGAGCAAAGCTCAGTATACACACCCTTAGCTTCGTACCGATGAAATACAAACGTAATCTGATCAGGTGCTTAGCATTTGGAGGGAGGTCCATTTGTTCCGAAGACTGTATAGAGAAAGAGCTCCAGGTCATCTGAGAATGGATATCCAGAGAAGTTCATTCAAGCCAACATAGGTTACAATAATCGTAAACATGAACTGGCAACGGTGGAGAAAAAGCCTCTGTTTTTACGTCTCCAATTCAAGGGGGATACTCCTGCGGAGATTCTATCACAACGTTTAACCAAGGCGATCAAGAAAACTTTCTACTCTGCACATCTGTGTCTATCCTTCAGTAGCCATCCAATGTTCACCCAGCAACTCAAAAATGTCTTACCTAACCTTAGCTCTTCTTCATGCATATACCATTTCAACTGTTCCTGTGGTTCAAGTTATATAGGGCGCACGATTAAGCAGGTTCGTCTACCGGTTCGGGGAAATTTACCAGTTTGGTTTAGCGGGGGGGAAATTAAGTGCATAAAAAGCTCGATCCTGTCACACTTTTGGTCGATACTAGACATCGAATCTATGTCAACACAGCTTTCAGGGTTATATACCGAATTCCGAAGTCGTTATCACGTACAGTTCGCTTACGTCTCCTACACATAGCTGAAGCTGTTGCAGTAAGATCGACTAAACCGGAACTTTGTATCCAAAAGGAACACGTCCAGACGCTGTTCCTACCGTGGCCAAACTTGGATTGATGATTCTTCTTTTCACCAAGAGTGCTTCTTCCCCTTAACCCTCTTGATTTTTTCCCTTTGCTTATTATTACAATTATTATCATTATTATTCGTCATAATTTATACCCTTCATGCAAACATTTCCTCAATACTATCAAAATTTCCATTTATACTATCCGGACTTATTATTAGTGATATTATCTCTTTTTCTCAATATATGTCTCCACCTGTTTCATTTCACATATTCGTTATTTCGTTATGAACTTTCTCATTGCAGTCTTACTATCTCCTGTTTAATACATACCACTTTGTACTAGCCACTCACCTGATACCTTTTATAACCTTGAACTGACTTGTCAATTTTCCTACCCCACACTCTACAAATCTATTATGACTAGTCACCACCATTGTCTCCCATTTTACAATATTATCTAATCGATTTCAGCCTAGCACGTTTGTTACACAAATACGACTATTTATTTTGACACCCAATGTCTAATCTGTCATTCCACGTTAAAAAATGTGTACGCCACATGATTGGCCATTATTGTAACGACAGTAAATATTATATCTTATAATTGTAAGAACCTGAAGAGAAATCGTTGAAAAGAATATTCTTCGTTCAGATTGAGTTTAGTGCATGATATGGGAATGTATCACACTATTAAATTTATTATTATTATTACCATTGTATGCATATTTCGATTTTTTTGTTTGAAATTTAACTCTCTTTGTAAGTTAAAATTGTTTGTGTACATGAACTTAATGGTCTTTGTCCTTAGTGAGTTGATGAGAAGGCGACGAAATACGTGGTGTTACCATTGTATTCTGCACAAGGTGTTTTTTTTTCTGTATACAGTCAATTAATAATTGAGGAAGTCTATCAAATCGGGGTATAGAGGATTTATTGGAACTTAATTTAATAATATAAACCATTGATGATATTATCGTGATGATTTTAGGTTATTCTTCTGCTGTTTGTTTAACATAACCTTTCTGAGCTGTATAATGTTTCATATCATTTGAGAAGTTTTACACGTTATTTCTATTGACGCTTCTTACCATTTAGTTAATTAAACCCTGATTTTTATTCTTTAAAATTCCATTATTATAATAGCTTGATAGGTGCTCTTTCATGTAGTGTTTATGCCATGTACTAATGCTGCTATAGCCACTCAGTCTCTTATGGAAGAAAGACATAAAAGGTTTTTGTTTTCTCTGTAAGGCATTTCCGCTATATTGGTTTTACTTTTTGTAATAAGTCTTGTTGACATAGAATATGCGGATGAAGTGGTTCTCCTAGATGGTGACGCTGTTAAAATGTTCGGTATGCAATTTGCTTCTGCCAAATGTAAAATGATGCTACACGAGTAGACTACATCGACTCCTAACTTATAAGTAGAGAGCGCAGTGGAGTGGTAGAGGGTGTTCAATACTTCACTTGTTTAAAGAGTTGTATCAGCCCCAACGAACAGATTGCTGAAAAATCTCAGCATGGATAACAAAATGCTCGTGTGGCATTTCCCAACTTGCATCATCTCTGGCGTAGACATGGTATCCAATTGCAATCAATGAAACGACGTACGTTCTGCTCAGCAGTTCGCTCCGTCCTTTATGGTTGTGACAAATGGCCATTGGATGGGGAAGACATGAAAGGTTATCTATCTTACATCATAGGTGTCTCCGTTCTGTCTTCCGTGTTAGGTGGTATAATAGAGTGAGCAATATTGAGGTTAGGTATAGTAGAGTGTTAGGTGAGAAGAGAAAATCAATCGACGATGTTGTGAGGCTACATCTATCGAGATGGTAGGACATGTGTTATGCACACCAAACTATCGATCACCTTCGTCGATGGTTAATGTTAGCTGATACGGAATCACGTTGCAAAGAGAAATTACTAGTGGTGGAAAAACCAAAAGATGGCTTCATCAGTCAATGTAATCTCTAACAGTTAGTTGAAGCCAGTCACGTAGGTAGGTGTAGACCTCCTGACTGGTTTGGGTCCTCAGGATTGTAAAAACCGATGGTTGGAGACAATAGGTGATATGACTCAAAGTCGTTCCCACTGGCTCAGATGTATTCACTCTCTGTGATGTGCGACATCCAGGAAATCTCTGTTGTTTTTCTATGCTTCTATTCCTTTTTCACATTTCTGCTTATCATCGTCCTTCCGAATTCCTTTTCTTTTGTCTTCCTTTGTGTGCGTCGTGGAGTGTGACAACTCGAAATGTTGCATTTGCAGTTAGTCATAATCAGCATTACACTGCTTTCCTAACTTTAGCAGTCGAGAGTTGCTAAGTAATCTAACTACTATGAATTGTTAAAAAAAAACACAACTCAAAACCGTTTAAGATCGCATTTCAAAGACCATTTTATACCATCTTCGATTGATTTCATAAATGAGTTTCTATGCCATTTATTTTGCTCTCATATTTCATTTCTAGATGTACTGCAAAGTTACGGTCAGACCTATTGTACTCCAACTACACCTAAATTAAAAAGACGGAGTTGTCTTTCATCCACTATTGTATCTGCCTCTCGTTACTTCACAGAAGAAGATAAAGTTGACGATGTAGCGGTAGCAATAGACAATGCTGTTACTAATCTACCAAATGGTGATTCACCTCCTCGCTTGAATACTTCTCATAGCCCGGTGTTTTACAAGGCTAGCTCGAATCCATTTCGATTGTCTGTATCATCTGCATTGTCATCAAAACCAAAAGTTAATGGAGGTGAAGATATTTTAGTAAATCCAATCAATGAAGATTTGCACAATTCTCCTAGCTGTCGTAGCGATTTGGATGCTGTTCGTCGTTCTAGTTTTGAGTAAGCCTACGAATTTATTTTGTTCAGTCTCTATAAAAAATGTACCATTACTGTTCATTGCGGAGAACAATTAATCCACTATGATTGTCTTTCTTTTTTTCTTCTAAACAGCTTAAAATGCTTTCAGTTCAAGAAGTCTAGTCAGTCTTCAGGCACTAATTCTTCTCCCGTATTTGTTGATCCAATCGAACGACAAAATCGTCCTGTTTCCCCTACATCACCTGACTTAAATAATTCAACAGCTGATTCACAAGATAGCTTATCGAATTTCTCATCTCCTAGCTTTTTAAATTCTCATAAAATTTCTTCTCAGAATCCGAATGAGAAAATCTCTCCCAACGAAATCGTCAGTAATCACAACTCAGCTGAAACAGATTCTTGCTTTTCGGAGAGTACTTCTCTGAAAGAAAACAGTGTAGATATAAATCAAAAACAAGATTATGTGAGTCTTTATATATATATATATATATCACTTGTATGAAGTTTATTTTTTGTCTATCGCACAATTTTTATTTTCATTTTATTCCATTGCATTTTGTGTGGAACATGGAGCCAACTGTCAAGTTGCAGTATTAGTAGTGTTTATTTTTACGGGGTGAGGTTCCCGGCCCTACGCCCCCTAGCCTTCCCTCTTTTCCAGGCTAACTACCAGCTAAGCGAGGTGTATGGGGTGAGTCAACTGGGAATGGAACCCTGGACCACGTGAATCGTTGGTGAGTATTCTACTACTGAGTCACCTATGTACGTCGTATATAATTACTTCAGTTTTTTGACCAAATAGATTTCAGCGATGTGGTTTGCGTTTTTTAAATATATCGCTTTATGGGCTGTTGTGTTGATAATTTACTTGTCAAGTTCCTGAAAAAGTGACTCTTCTAGTTCTTTATTTCTTGTAATATTTAAATGCCTGCTATTTCACCACCTTTTCTGCTAAATTAAAGTAGTATATTAGTTATGTATTAGTACCACTGCAGTTCATAAAATGACTATTTCTGCTTTTAAAGTGAATAGCAATACATTTTAAAGCAAATTAATGTTCAGCAGACCATATGCTTTCAAATGGCTTCATATGCATATTAAGACAGCGTATAAAAACGTGCTTAAGGCAATCAGATGGTCAAATAACAGATTGATTATTGACGTGGTTATAAGCTGCAACAACAAGAGAACATTTTAATAAGTTAAATAGGAATCATATAATTGCAGTTTGCAGTTGTTGTGGTTAAACTGCAGAGAGCTGCTTGTTGCAGTCGAATATTGCATTCATTGTGAAAATAAGTATTTCTATTTTGAAATATGAACAGATTGTTTGAAATGGCGTTCAAAGATCAAATTCATTACTGCTAAACTAACTTTGATGAGTAACTCAGTCCGTTTTTGGCATCTGTATTTAGTGAATCCTTACTCAACAATAGTAGTGTTCTTTGAATTCGATGTTCGTACTTCAACATCTCTTCTGTGCATTTATTTTAGACCATTTCCCTAGTATAATATCCATATACTGTGGTGTCAGCTCGTGACAGTGTAGTTTCTTATTTTAGTTCATATTTCTTGATCAATGCTTAAAAGCTCAGCTAATAAATATTTTACTCCTGAATCAAAACATTCTATTCCTATTCTTATATAAAATAGCGTTTATTAATCACAATTAAAACTTCTTCATTTGTTTGTTTATTTGTTTTTTAAAGGTTTCAAAACTGTCAAAAACTAACTTTAAATTTAAATCAATAAGGTCAAAGACGTTAGGCAAAACTCGAGCACCACCTGTACAGTCAACAAATTTGGATTCATTTTTCCAGAAGTGGAAATTTAAGCGATCCAGTACATAAAATATTTTTGTCTCTGTGTACTACCACTTGTACATATTGACTTAACATATCTGTACTTTTATTTTTGTTTTTTTTATAGTTGATACTATTCCTATTTTGACTTCATATCAGATAACATATAATTAGCTACTTTATAATCTATTTCTTTTCCATTTTCTTTTGAACTGAGCCAATAACTTATGCCTTATTGATTTCAATGTTATTTTTAAGGTCTGCAAATGTTTTTTTACATTTATCCTTGTAGTCTTATCACATAACATCTATTTAATAAATGATATATACAGTCTTGAAAGGAAATTGTTTTTACTGGATTATTATTACTGCTATTATTCTCATGGGGGTTCCTAGTGGGACATAAGCTCTAGCAGCACATCTCCACTCCACTGTGCACTTTTCTTTTACCTAGCTACACAACTGCTCATAACCCTTCAATTTCCTCCCCACATCATCTCGTCCTTATAACCCTCAGATGCCAACTCGTCATTTCTCATTCGATTACACTCAAGGGTGTGACGTATAAAATTTCAGTCAACTGTCTCCTCAGCGCCGTATATCCATCTTCACTTCCTTTTGCATATTTTTTGGGCGACAGGTTCTTGGTTGGTTCATTTCTTGAGTTTCTTATTGCTTATCCTTTCTAGTTATTGAATCTTCATGGTCGAGGCAGCCGAAGGATGTGTTTATGAAACTTTGCAACAGGCTAATGGAAACATTTTTCGTGACGCGCTCGCGAAACAAGTCTCTGTAACATATATAGAAGCACTTATTTGACACTCATGCTAAAAATTCATATCTTGTTGCTTATGTTGAATGCTGTAGGTTTTCACACTGACATCAGAGTAATGAACTGTTTGTTGCTTTTCGGATCCTGTCTTTGATATCCTCATGTGCAGCTGAGACGGCGCTGCCCCTCGTTGGGTAAGTTAATGAGGTGACTTCCCTTAGATTTTTTCTGTTGACAGTGATTAGCATTTGTTGTTACTGACATAAAAACAAAACTTGTGCACTTTGGTAGAATATAGTTCCATTATGAGTACAATTTAATTCGATAAAGTTCACAGTGTTAAAGAGTAATATTATTATTATTGTTCCCTTGGGTTCCTAGTGGAACATAAGGCTTCAACTGCACGTCTTCACTTGCTTCTGTCTTCTGCTGTACTTTCACCTGCATTCATGTTAGTCCATACTGTTTCAACTCCTCTTCACACGATCTTCTCCATGTCACCCTTGCACCAACGACCCACTCGCCGCTTCCCTTTCGGCCTGGTTCCACTCGAGCAATGGCCTGACGCGCGCGCTATGTCACCAACCGGCCTCCTCAGCCGCGAGTGTCCAATTCATCTCCACTTTCTCCTGCATATTTGTTGGTTGGCGATTGGTTCTTGTTTTGTTTGTTCATCGCCAGAGTTTCTTGTTGATGATTCTTTCCGGCCCGTCCATCTGATCTTCAGTATAGAGCGAAGACAGTTGTTTTTGATAAAGGTCTGCAGCAGGCTGTTGGAAATATTCTTTGTGACCCGCCTGCCAAGTTGCTGATCCGTATAGAAGAACTAACTGACTTGACGTTTATATTGAAAATCCGACCGAATTTTGTTGTTGATGCTTGGTTGAGAGACGAAGATTTCCAGATTGGTTTCAGGTTGATGAATGTGTTTCTCGCCTTCCAGATTCTCGCTCGATTTGACATCCCCGTCCTTTCCTCCTGTAGTTGAGACAATGCTCCGTAGATAAGTGAATGAAGTAACCTCTCAAATTCCTCTCGTTGATGGTGGTTGGCGATGGATGTTGCTGTTGTTGTTGGTGTCTTTGGTTGGTTATTTCTATAACCTCCGTCTTGTTTATGTTCACATGGAGTCCTGTCTTCGCCGACTGCTTCTTCGGCCAGTTTGATCGGTTTTCGCTTGTAAGTCTTCGATTTTGTGTGACATCAAACATAAATCATCCACAAGCGAAATACAGGTCTTCTAGGTTCTTCACGTCGGTCCAGATATTCCTGTCTTCTCGTTTCCCACTGTTTGACGCATAATCCAGTCCACCACAATTAGGAATATCATCGGTGATAATTAGCACCCTTGTCTGACTCCTGTGTTTACTCCAAACACCTCACTGAATTTTTCAGTGTGGATCACTTGACATGTGCCGTTGTCGTACAACTATGGTACGCCGTAGTGCTCTTGATTAGTATGGAAAATTATGGAATTATATAAACGAAGCTAGAAAGTTGTCTGGATACCTTGATATGATTATGAGCAATAAATTGTGCTCGAACGTCATCAGTAGATATTGCTGTATAACACTGTGAGACTTTATCAAAATAAATTTTACTCATAATGGGACTTGTTGTTACTGTTGATTAGGCATCTTCATAATTTCTGTGTTCACTTGAAGTCCTGTCTTCACCACTTCTTTTGTATCGGATTAAATGCAGATATTTGTATGCATGGTCTGAAAACCATATTTCTTATATGAGTTCTAATGATAATACCTTGTTGGTTTGATACCGTTGGAGAATACAATTTTCAGTTAGTTCCAATGAAACAGATGTGTGCTGTAACTACTATTAATCACAGATATTCGTGGTGTAGTCTAGTTATTATTTACATGAGTGCTAATCTGTTTGGATCTGACGATATTGCTGTTTCATACATTTATTCCCCTTAATGAATTTGAACAAAGCAAGAACTATAGTTTTAGCAGAATAAAATGGTACCATCTTTTATTTCGTTGCCTTCTCGTTAGCTGCTTACAGGACAAAGACATTATTAAATATATCTACAACAAAAATTTTAACATACTTATACCAGGAAGAGGAAGAATTTGAGTTTCTTGAAAAGATATTGAAGAGCAGTGGGTACCGTCGAAGGTTCATCAACAAGTATGGAAGATCTAAGTCACCAGTGTAAAACAAATCACAGTGGGTAAAAAGCCAATCTACATTCAGCTTGATTATAAAGGTGAAAACATTGCAGCGATGATCAACAGAAGGCTCAGTACATCACTAGCCATAGCCTATCCTGCAGCTAAGCTCGTCCCCGTCTATCGAACAACTTGCTCTTTGGTGCAATCAAAAATTGACAGATATCCTTCTCATGTTAACTCCAACTGTATATACAAATTTATATGTATCTGTGGGAGCAGTTACTTTGGAAGGACAGAAAGAAGGGCGTATCTACGATTTTCTAAACATGTGTCAAAAAGCTTACGTCTCAAGGGAACAAATGGTTTAAACAGTGCCATCGCCAGACATCTCCTCGACACGAGTCATGAGGTGGACATCGAAAAATCGTTCAAAACTATCAATAGGCAAAAGAGCTCAAGTACGCTGAAGCCATTTCCATCAAGTGCCTGAAACCTGATTTATGCGTCCAGAAAGAAGCGGTTATCAGTCTTTCTTTGCCCTGGTAATTGGATATTTTTCATCTCTCTTTCATCTGAATGCGAAACGCTGAAAAGTTTCCATTGTGTATGATTATTATTGTTGTTCGGAATAGTGTTTAATATTACTTATATGTATATGTATATATTATTAGTGTATGCGCATATTGATCGATTGATTTTTGTTTAAAAATGAACTGTGTGCAAGTATGTTAAAATTGTTTTTGTAGATATATTTAAAAATGTCTTTGTCCTGTAAGCAGCTGACGAGAAGGCAACGAAATAAAAGATGGTACCAGTTTATTCTGCTAAAACTATAGTTCTTGCTTTGTTCAAATATTATTGTTATCTCGCAACGAGATTTTTTTGAATTATTTACTAAAGTATTACTTACAGTAGACGTAGGCTTTAAGACTGTGAGCACTGTTTCATTGTGTACTTAGTTTTTAAGTATACCCAGTCATGAATTCCACTAATCAAAGGTGCATAATTTAGAATCATTAGTCTTTATTAATCAATAATTACACACTTTGCAAAGAGTTTCAACAAATTGACAGATTTTGTTATCAGAAGAGGGAAAAAGTGTTGATTGTTTGTACATTAAATATTCCTCAAAATAAATCATTGATATGAATAAATTGACAATGTCTCAAGACTGCATTGTATCCCAAATGTGTCATTTGACAAGTTAATGCATTATTGAAAAAGTTGGATTCTGGCACCAAGAAGTCAGGATTGAATGAAACCTACAAAGTGTTAAAAGAATGTTCTGACAAGTAATTAATCTTTGAAAAAATTTTTGATTAAAGTATCCATTCAACTAAAATAAAGTAAAACAAATAGTAGTTGGAATTACTTACTATCCACTCTTCATTTTATTTATTAGTAGGAATATGTTAAAGGATTCTCATAGGCTTAAGTCGTCAGCTTTCAAATAATGCTTGTATTTTGAAATAATAGAGAAGATTTGTAGCTCACATGTAGGATTTGCAATTAATAATGTTATCTGAGCTGGTTGGTTTAGTTGCGGAGCTATCGTCGTCCTTCTGGACAACATCTTCAGCGCAATATTTAGCATAAAGTGAAATGATTTCGCTGAAGATGTTGTCCAGAAGGACGACGAAAACTCCGCAACTAAACCAACCAGCTCAGAGAACACTATTAATTGCAAATGCTTCTATTTATTCAATGTAGACAATATCATAACTCATGTATATCGAACAGCTGAATACAGAAGTAGTATCCGACTTGATGACACCACTGCTGGAGAAGGTGTGGAAAGAGGGCAAAGTACCCGAGGATTGGAAGAACAGTTACTTATTCAAACTTCCAAAGAAAGGAGACTTAAGTCAATGTAAAAACTGGCGTGGAATTATGCTTCTGTCCATTCCAAGCAAGATACTAAGTGCATCATCCTGGAGAGAATCAAACAAGCCCTAGATGAAAAACTTCGTCCGGAACAGGCTGGATTCAGGAGAAACAAATCATGTATTGATCAAATCGCCACTCTACGGATCATCATTGAACAAAGCTTGGAATGGCAGTCACCTCTCTATCTCAACTTCATCGACTTTGAAAAGGCCTTCGACAGCGTCGATCGAGAGGTCATTTGGAAACTACTTCGCTACTACGGGGTCCCATCGACAATTATACACCTCATCCAACAGTTATACGACAATGCTGCATGCCAAGTAATCCACAACGGGAAACTTACGGAAGCCTTCGAAGTGAGGACGGGAGTGAGGCAAGGCTGTCTACTATCACCAATGATCTTCCTGATTGCAATTGATTGGATAATGCGACAGACAACGGCAACCAACGAGGGAACAGGCATAAATGGACTGACACAAAAGACTTGGAGGATCTGGATTTCGCCGATGATATATGTCTGATTTCCCATAAACTGGAAGATA